CGAAAGGTGTTGTGTGGCTCCAAAACTTAACCTCCCGCCAATACTGCCGCCCTGGGAGCGAGACCACATGCCCCTGCAGACCTTCCGTCGTCGCAGAAATGTCCCCGAGCCACCGCACGTCCAAGCAGCCAACCCTCACCTGCGCTCCTCTGCCTCCTGCCGCTGCTTCTGGATGTCCGCCGCTAGCTGTGTCGCTGTGACCAGGCCCGCAGCGGTTCCGTCACCCATACGAGCAGGAGGGCCCGCGCCAGAGGACGGCCCCGGTCCCGGGGGTCTGCGCGGCGGCGATGCGTCCGGGCTATCATGTCGTTGCCGCCGCCGCGGCGGCGACGCGTCTTGTACGGCACCTCTCCGCAGCGGCGATGCGTCCGGGCTGTCGTGCCGTTGTCGCCGCCGTGGCGGCGATGCGTCCTGTACGGTGCCCCGACGCGGCGGCGATGCGTCCAGGCTGTCGTGCCGTTGCCGCCGCCGTGGCGGCGATGCGTCTTGTACGGCGCCTCTCCGCAGCGGCGATGCGTCCGGGCTGTCGCGTCGTTGTCGCCGCCGTGGCGGCGACGCGTCTTGTACGGTGCCCCGGCGCGGCGGCGATGCGTCCGGGCTGTCGTGCCGTTGCCGCCGCCGTGGCGGCGATGCGTCCGGGCTGTCCTGCCGTTGCCGCCGCCGTGGCGGCGATGCGTCCTGTATGGTGCCCCGACGTGGCGGCGATGCGTCCTGTATGGTGCCCCGCCGTGGCGGCGATGCGTCCGGGCTGTCGTGCCGTTGCCGCCGCCGTGGCGGCGACGCGTCCGGGCTGGTAGAGCGTCTGCCAGGCCCAGCAGGCAGCCTGGCATGGGTTTCCGCTGCCGAAACCCATCCAGAGCCAGTCTTGACCTGCATGATGGTGCATAATAGTGCACGAGGAGAACTTTTTCCATGCGGTTCTCTTCTAGGCTCCAGTGTCGTTATGCCACAAGTAGCTTACCTTTTCAATTTGTTTAATCAACGCCGCGGCCTCTTCTGGGTTAGCAATTGTAGGGGCTTCTGCAGCATGAACGAGCCGTACGAGGACTGGTAAAGCTCCAAACTCCGGCGGGCCGTACCGATGGAGTGCAGTACCGGGTTGAGACTGAGACTTACCGTCATCCTCTGTGTCCTCTTCTCCCACGTTCGTCCGCTTCCCGGTGAGCGTACCCCGTCCCGTTGGGTCCACCGTATTAAACCCCGACACGTCCTGATCCACAATCCGGACGGCACCGCCCGCTTCCGGCGCAGCTTTCTTTTTCTTTTTGCGCTTCATTGCTTGGGCGCCGTCTCCTGAGTCCCCGCAGGCATAGTTCTTGGCCAAGTACGCTTGAAGAGCGCTGTTCTTGGGTGCGGCGTCTGTCTTTTTCTTTTCGTCAGCTCGTAATACTGATTTCCCTGCAAACAGGTTATCATCTTTGCTAGCTCGAGTAGTCGGTATGGTTTGACGAAACGAGAAAGACATACGACTGAAAAGCCTTAAGACAAAGGTTCGGAAGAAACGTGTCAGCAGCGGATTTTCATATTATATATGGATGCCTTCATGTATAATCATTATAGCGGGCTTAGCGATGTGGCAACTTATTTTGTTTGGTTAAGCCGGTTAGTACGAGCCAGCCGGTCTGTTGGACCTGCTCTTTGCAGGTTGGATTGTCGTTTCTCATGCACCGAGTCGTCCAGGTTGAAACTCGACTTGGCGCCTGACAAAAGAGGCGACCTCCCCGTTGTCAACTGTAGGCTTTGGGTAGCCTTTTCTTTTCTTGGACCGGGTTGGACTCATAAGCTGAATTGGATGCTGTCTTCAAAGGATGGTTGCTATAATGCGCTAGGCTCTGTGTGTGATCTGAAATTTAGGCGCTGAAGTACCTGAGCCTTGGTCGAGGCCACAGCACCTGCCGCTCTCCCAGGCCCGGTGCAAAGCATGGATCAGGAAGATGAATACGGAGGGCTTTTCTTGGTATCGGTGGACGATCTTGGCGCACCTGGGCTGTGGGCATCCACCAAAGATGTAAGCCGTTAAGTTGGACCTCCGGTCAACCCTCCGATGTGTCCCCATGCGACAAGGCACCCGGGGGCCCGTATCACGTAGGCAGCGGCGGCACCCGTAACCCATCACGCACCGCGCCCCTTCCCCTCAAATCCAGACTTCCCGATACTTAGTAGCACCGGTCTTACCGGCTCGGGCGCTTGGACTGGGACTGAATCCACAACGCAAACTAACTGGGGGGTTTCTTCTAGCTGCACAAAGTCCCACTAACTCAAATCCAATGGAGGCCTTTCTTGTCCTCCTCCTAACCCAACATCCCACTTTCTGTCTTCCCGCCTCCCCCCAACACACACACACACAGACACGCTATACACAGACACACATACATACATATATACATATATACATGTGTTTCGGCTTCGGCCCCCGGCTCTCGCGGCCCACAGTGTAATCTAAGTCATACATACATACATACATATACGTCCCTCGGCTCCCTCGTCCCCCCGCACCCGCCACTCCCCTCCCCAACGCTAAATAAAATACAGCTTCTGGAGTCTCGGTCCGTGCTGCACGGCCTGGTGCTCCGCAACAAACTGGGGCGAGCAGTTACGGTGGACAGACTAGCACTCCAGTAAGTAGGGCTTGAGTACGAGTCATGGTACGGGCAATGGATACGAGCCGTACAGTCGTTTTTAGTTGGGGCTGCAAGCGAATTCTCATGAGAGCCGTGGGCCGGCGGGAGAGGGGGAGGTCTTCTCAAATTGTCACTTCCATGGAGAGGCCTTTGCCTATCGGACTTCTGGACTTCCGGACGATGACTTGGGTTACCGGGGGTTCGTCTGCATGTGGTGCTACTGGCAGATTTTCCCGCGACTCCCGCGACTTCCTCTCTCTCTCTCTCTCTCTCTCCCCACTTTTCGCAAATCTTTCCGCCATCCCCATCCCCATCCTTCCAGCTTCAATCGCGTGGGGTTCGTCTTTCCCCATCCTTCCTCCAAACCGTTCTGGGTCGCTTCCCTTTTCTTCGTCCTCTCAGACTGGTGCCCAGTGGCGACAAGCGGCTTCAGCGGCTGCGGCCCTTCGCACACAGCCCCGTTGTGTGGTTCCGTCACCCCTACGCGCACCTGCTGCTGGTGGGGGCCGATATGGGGTTTGCTTGGGGGGAAAAACATCAGCACAGTGTGCATGGCTGTGTGTCTGTATGTGTTGGAGATGTGGCCAGTGAAGAACGCCACAGGTTTTGCTTAATGGGGAAGTGGGGGCAGCGGCGCATGGGGGGTGGGGGAGCCCCGACTCAGAGGGACCGGGGGGGGAGAACAACGGCTTGCGACCGAAGCTGCTGTGTCGCGGTGCGTTGAAAAGAACGTTTTACGTCTTCCAGATGGCCGAATGGGCAACGTATCTGAATCCTTTGAGGTTGGCAATTGGGGTAAGCCGGTAATGGATGTCCTGGCCATGGCAGCTGCGGTGGCAGTGATGGAGGTGGCGGTGGGGGTGTTTTCAGGTGTCCACTTTGAACACGGCCGAGTACCGCAGCGTCCTCAAACCCGCACTCAAACGAGCTATCGCGGACCTGGAGCGGGACTGGGGGGGCCCGCCGTTGCCGGGGCCGCCGCCGCCGCAGCCCAGCGGCATGGGCGCCCTGCTGGGCGGCAGCGGCGCTGCCTCCGCCGCCGCGGCGGCACCAGCAGGCATGCTGGGCGCGGAGTGGTTCATCGTGTATGTGCGGCCGGCGGAGGTGGATGTGGCGGACAAGGCGGCCAGAAAGGTGCGGGACCGTCCTGGGTTTGGGAATGTACGGCGCCTTGTGTTGTGATGGGCGGGAAGGTTGGACCTTCGGCTGAGGACGGGGAGGGGCAGCAGCAGCAGCAACAACAGGAGGAGTACGGCTTGATTGGTAGTTACATAGTGGGAGACTGTCTGCAGCACCGACATAAGTACAGAGCTACATAAGCTTGGTTGTGAGGGGGAAATGATGCACAGCTATTCGGGCCCGAACACCCAACCCTTCATATCTACCGCTTGACCTGCGAAGAGACACACACACACATATATATACACACACAAAGGCACACAACACAGAATACGAAAGGCACGCGGCTCGTCTTAAATAGGAAACTCACGCGCACACATTCACACCTCGATTCACACGCGCTTACGCACACGCACTTCTTCTCGCAGGTCTTTGACAAGCTCAAGGACGACTTCTCGTCGCGGGGCCGCACCCGGGTGATTCGAATCGACCCGCCCAAGGGGTACTCCGCAGCCGCCGTGGCGGCGGTGATCGGGGCCTCGGGAGCCGCTGGCGGCGGCGGCGGCGGCGGCAGCTGGGCCAACCTGCGTGGTGCTGGTGCTGGCGCTGGCGCCGCCGGGGCCGGGGCCTCCTCCTCCTCTCTTCCCCACCCCGCCGTCGTGGCCTACCCCGGTTTCCTCCCCAGCGCCATGCTGGGCCTGGAGGATCTGGAGCTGTGTTTGCGGGAGTGCGTGAGGAACAGCTTTGAGTCCCGACAGGCGGCGTATATGGCGGAGGTGCGTGTATGCATGATGTATGTGTGTATGTGTTAGGTTGGGTGAGTGGGTGGGTATTTGGGGGGAAGGGAGGGAGCGGAGAGGGGTTTGGGGGGAGGCGCGGGTGTGGGAGGTGGCAGGGTTCGGGAACCTGGTCGGTACGGCCGGTTACCATCCAGGTAGAGCGATGACTCGCTGTGTACGTGAGTGACATGGTGGCTTTCCTACTGACCGGCCTGATAACACTGAACATAACTATGTCGTGGCGTGATGTGATGTGGGGTGCTGTGGTGTGATGTGATGTGCTGTATCGTGTGCTCTGTCGTGTCGTGGTGTGGTGTGGTGTGGTGTGGTGTGGTGTGGTTGGCTCCCCCGCCCAGGGGCCCCGCCGGGCAGTCGGCAGTCGGCACGCCTTCGACGGTGAACTCCCGCTCTCCCCTCCCCCTTTCCTCCCCCCTTCCTCCCCCTTCCTCCTTTTTACGTTTGCTACTCTCTTGCCCTGGCAGCAGCTTCAATCGTGTGTGGTTCGTCTTTCCCCTTCCTCCCCCCTTCCGCAGGTTCAGCGGCTGGCCAACGAGCGTCGCGACCCCAACTGGTCCTTCTCCTCCCTCTACCTGGTGAAGGACTCCCTGGCGCTGCTGCTGGAGGGCTGTGGACTGCACACGGAGGCGTACAAGGAGTGAGGGCGGACACACAAGGGAGGGCGGGAGACGAACCACGAGCGAATGAAGCTGCGGGGGGAGGGGAGGGGGAAAGGGAACGACCTAAGAATAATGTGTCGGAGGGGAGGGGGAGAGGCGAGAGTGGAGAGCGGAGCAAAGTGGAAGTCGTGTGTGTGATTTCCCCCTCCCCCTCCCCTCCCCGGGTGGACTTCGGACTTTCCACTCCCCGGCCTTTGGACGCCGGCAGTTACATTCGGGTTTCCTTGCATATGACTCCCCCGGGGTGCGTGTATGTGTGTTATGTATGTATGTATGTTGTTACAGGGTGGTATAGCTTCACCAGCGGCCCCCTTTCCCTTGGAGGCAGTTCCCTGCTCTCCCCTGCGAGAGAGGCACCCTAATCCAGTCACCCCATCCGAACTTCAGAATGTATTCGTTGGGTTCAGAAACTCACCACCAGCATCCAACCAAATCTAGCGGATCAACGGCGCCTCAACTGAGTATGTATGTATGTATGTATGTATGTATGTATGTATGTATGTATGTATGTATGTATGTATGTATGTATGTATGTATGTATGTATGTATGTATGTATGTGGTCGCAGGTTCCGGCAGTACCTCTTCGCGTCCCAATCGCGGTTGCTGCTGCGACTGGAGCGCCCGGTGGATGTGGCGGAGCGGGGCCTGCGGTTCATCGGCGCACTGGCGGCGGAGCTGAGAGAGCGGGAGCAGGAGGGGGAGGGGGAGCGCGTGCCGGCGGCCGGTGCTGGCGGTGTACGGCCGCTGTTCACGGAGGTACGGCACATATGTTATGTAAAGGCCGACCGATCTTTCCCCGGCTGGCTGTGTGCGAGGTGGCCGTCTATGGACTGCTGCCTTACCCCTCCTCCTCTTCCTCTTCCCCATCTATCTTCGCCGCACTCTTTCTTCGACTCCCCCTCCCCTTTGCTCCCCCGCAGCACTCTTTCCTTGGTAGCAGCTTCACTCGCTCGTGGTTCGTCTTTCCCCCCTCCCTTTTCCTTCGTTCCTTCAGTCGTGCGACACCGCGCCGCCCTCACCTAGGGCGGCCATCGCCGGCCTGGGCGTCATTGGCCCTCCAAGTAACCGCAGCTGACAGGTTGCAGCTGCATTTGCCCCCACCCCACCCCACCCTCCGTATTCGTCTATCTCTGGTGGTATCAGCTCCACTCGCCTGTGGTCACCCCCACCCACACACGCACTCACAGCCAGTACCCCCACCTTCCCTCTCACCACCTGCCGCCTTCCCACAGGCCTGGACTCTGTCGGCCTGCCTTGCCGTGGTGGCGGCTGTGACTGCGTCCGTGTTTGGTCGGGAGACCTCGCTCGCACCGCCTCTGTACGCTAGCGGCTTTGCCGGCGGCGGCGGCGGTGGCGGTGGCGGCGGTGGTGGTGGTGGTGGTGCTCACGCACGCGCGCGCTCTTGGGATGTGTCTGGTTTCGCTGTTTCCGGAGATCTCGCCGCCGCGGGTGAGTTTGTTAATCACTTACACACATATGTACGCAACCTCTCCCTCTCTCCCTTTCTCTCTTTCCCTCTCTTTCCGGTCCCCCCTACTCTTTCCTTGGCAGCAGCTTCACTCGTTGGTGGTTCGTCTTTTTCCCCTTCTCTCTCTCCCTTGCTCTCACCTTGGCCCCGGGACAACCCACATCCTCATTGGCGTGTTTGTCGGAGTGTGATACGTGTACCGCGTCGTCGTCACGTATCCGGGTCATTCTTCGCGGTCTTCGTGTCTGTTCACCATGTCGTACACTCCCGTTCTATCTGTCGAAATCACAGGACCCGCACCTCGTCCCGCATCGCGGGGTCTGAGGGCGCCTGGTCATCATGGAGCGGCGGCGGAGGAGGCGGCGGCGGCGGCGGGGATCGGCGGGGGGCCTAAGTCGCGTACGGGAGTCCAGCAACGTAGGCAGAGGCTCCCGGCACAGCGCGATGCGGCCATAGCCTCGCAAGACGTACAGCATGTCGTACAGCATATCATACAGCATGTCGTATACTATCGAAGGTTATTAGATAAGGATGGCCGTGGCATTGGGCCGGCTGTCACGGCGCATGCGGAAGTATTCAGTGGGGGAAAGGGGGGAAGGGGACAAGGCCCAACTACCCACTATCACAACAACCGCCAACTGCCAACCGCCTCCACACGCACAAGTCCTCCTCCCCTACGGAACCCCGCACACACGGCGCATGTGAAGTTGCTTCATCGGCGCTCTGTCCGTCAACCTATGCCTCCCTCACCCTCTTTGTGCCCCCTCTTTCCCCCTCCCCTCTCCTCACCCTTTACCAGCGGAGGGAGGCCTCGGCGCCTCATCCTTCCCTCTCCAAGATGAAGATCCCGCAGCCGCCGCTGTGGAGGTGCCTGACGGCCGGCCGGAGGTCGTTGCCGACACCGCAGCGGCAGCGGTTGCGGCTGCCGCCGCCGCCGCCGCCGCCTCCTCGGGCCACTTGGACTGGCAGCTGTGGGTTCCCTTCGAGGCGGAGGTTCCCCCCCTGGACCCCACGGCCCTGTGTGGTCAGGCCATCGCGCCGGGGACGCTTGCGGCATCGAGGTACGTCAGAGAGCCTGCAGGGGGGCGCTGGGTATGCGTGTGTCCGGGTGTGCGTGTGGAAAGCTTGGGGTGCTCTGTCCCCCCACGCCCTGTTCCCCTACCTCCTTTACCTCTTCACTTCCTCCCGGGTTCCTGCGCCCTCTCCGTCCTCCTCCGACTACCCCGGCTCCACAGCCCCCTAGCTGGGTCCTACGGGTGCCACGTCACGGCACGTCATGCCACGTCATGTTGCACACCCGTCCGGGTCCTGACCGTGCGTTATGCGGGACGTCATGCGGCACTGAATCCTGCCTCTCCCCCACCCCCGTCCTGCCTTCATGGCCTCATGCCGCGCAGACCCACTGACGCCGAGGCGCTGCTCCGCCAGGGGACCTTCCAGGTGGGGCTGGGGGGCCGCCTGCCTTGGCGGCCTGGACACGTGTGTATTTGTATTCATGTATGCATACATGTACGTATGTGTGTATAGGGGTTGTCCCCTTTCTGCCACCATGCTGGATGGCTGGATGCGTGATGCAGCCATCACGCGCACGCGGTGGTGTGTCCCTCCCCAGTCTGCATACCCCTGGCCCTTGCGGCACTCCGGATCTGACCTGACCCAACATCACATATGAACTGAACTGAATTGGCCTGAACTGAATTGGCCTGAACTGAATTGGCCTGAACTGAATTGGCCTGAACTGAATTGGCCTGAACTGAATTGGCCTGCCGTGGGCCCCTTCCTTCCATGACGCCCTCCGCCCCCTGGTGCAGAACTTCCTGTTGGCCCTGGCGCACCTCTACAGCTCTGCACTGTCAGCTTTGCTACGAATGGCGCAGCGTGCGGCGTTGCTCGTCCATAAGTCGGAGCCGTCGTCACCGGCGCCGGCGTCGGCGCTGGCGGCGGCTGCAGCCGCCACCGCGGCTGCCCAAGGCGCCTCGACGGCCGTGGCGGCCGCGGTTGATGCCGACAGAAACAGTAGCGGCGGTAGCGGTGCCGTCCCCACAGCCGCCGCTGCCGCCGCCGCTTCTGGTTCTCCGGCCGACGAGTGGGACAGCTTTCTGGAGGCTTGGCGTCACGGGCTTCGGGAGCTGGCGCCGCAGTACACGTGTAGAGGCGTTGTGGGCATGTTTGTCGACCAGGTACGACACTTCTGCCGCTGGCGGCTGCCGCTTCTCTCTCTCTCTCTCTGTCTCTCCCCCCAAACTGCCCAATAGGGAAAAGGGAGCACTCCATAATAAAAAATCTTTATAATAACGATAACTATCGTAACCACCATAACCATCATAATTACCATAACGCAACTCATTTTTCCGCCACCCCCAAACCAGGCGGAGCGACCATTTAATAACAAGTACAGAATTTCGCTTCCTCGTCCTCAACCAGGTTACCCGACAGACATCCAGTTCGGTTGAATCGTCCACGTGCTGCC